TAAGTGACTTAGAGTGACTAGACTCTGACACATTTGACCAAATCTTGCTTACTGGAAACCATGCCACTCAAATTCACTAGTACTTAAAGGAACATAGAAAGCACTAAAGGAGTTGTAGAATAGACAAAAACGGTGAAAATACCTGGATGTCATCAATTAGATCTTTCTTGTTTGGCCTATCGTCCTTATCGACAGACGCAAAGCCTTCCCGGTCAGAGACCAATATTTGCGAGATCGATCTTGGTCCTGAAACCTCGAGCTGCTGTGGTCCACAAGCTGGATGAATTTTATGTCGTTGCGTGACCAAATTAAGTGAGTCTAGACCCGGTGACAAAAGATCGACTGGAGGATACGCTGGCAATACGAGACTAGGTTCTCGAGTTTTAGCAATATCAAGATGTAGAACATTCGGTGATGTATTCATTCCATGGCCCAATGATGTGTGTATTGTCGGTTGCCCAATTAGTACGGGTTGTAACTCTGTATCGAAGGGCGAATCGCATAAGGCGCCACCACCAGCGAAAACCGGCAGGTCGGATTTGAGCAAAGCACTACTGCCAGATGGTTGCAGTTGCAAATGCTGCTTTTGCATCATACCGGGTGAATGCAGCCCGACAGCCTTAGGATAAGCCAAACTGACGGTTCTGGCTAAGGCTGAGCCATCAGGCAAACCGGCAGTCGGGCTCCCACTGGAACCACTAACCGTTTCGCCAAGGCCGCTAGTTGGACTTCGTTTAAACGTAGATAACTGGAGTAAGAAGGGTCGCCCCAAATTGGGATGTCGAGGCCCAGGAAATGAACAGGGCAACTCACTGACAGCTGAACTTCCCTTAGGCGTTCCACTGCCACCACCAATATCACTGACATCAGCAAAAACACCACGTGCATCACCACCAAAGACGCCAAGGGCACCAACAGTCCTAGTATTCGTCATTGCAGAAATTCCGGTACCACTATCAATGTCGTTGATCTCTCTTACACAATCGATGTTGTTGCTGGGTTTGTCCTGATATCGACAGATATGATCAGAGATGTCGCAAGAGGGTATAGTTGTGCGTGTAGAAGAAAGACCGGAGGACCATACTGTCTGTTGCATCGTTGGGGTTGGTACAGCATGGGGAAGTTCTTGTAGAAGTTTCTGATGCTGATGATGCTGTTGCAAATATGCAAATGACGATGACATAGGCACTTCGAGCCCAGGTATGGCTGCACCCTCGTCATTACATCCCTCAGTTGTCCCAAACGAATCCAGGCCACTCCCATAGCCAACTCCTCCAACGACTCCGCTACGGACAACTCCGGCATCCCCGAGAATCGGCTGGATGGCAAATGAGTTCATTGGAGCAAATGAAACGGAAGGCTGGTCCATCCAAGAAGTGCCAGTTGAGCAGGAAGCTATTCTTATTCCAAGTCCAGAGCTAAACTGATGCTGTTGAAGTGGGGTATCGTCACCATGTAAAGTTGTTCGCCAATCCCTGACTACAGGAACCGGATAAGGTAATTGACATGGAGGAGTAGATCGTGCATTTCCTGTCATCGTCTGAGAGGCAAAAGGAAAAGAGCTTAGACCAGCACGAGCCCCTGTCAGTCCGGAGGTATAGACCAACAATCCACTGCCGCACATCCCGCCAGTACCAGGAGTAGCTAAAGAACAGGCACCTCCACTGCCGCTGTTACCCTTGTTTCCTGAGCTGCCGCCACTTGCCGCACTGGCTACGCTGCTGCAACTAAGCCCCGCAGTAAGTGCTCCGACTGCTTGGTGTGGCGGAGGTGTTGAATGCGGATGATGGGCGTGATGCAAGTATCCTGGGTGGCCCGGATGACAAAGAGGATTAGAATGACCAGAATGAAGAGTGTTCTGAAGACCACCCGTTTGCCAACCGAGAAGTGCATTTGTCGATGAGCCATCGAAGAGGGCTGAGTATGGCGGCGGCATTGGCACTGTTTTTGCTGACCCCGTGGCCTGTGAAGGTGATGTAGTTGGACTGCTTCCGAGACAAGGTGTTCCCAAAGCCTGACTCGACGAATCAATCCGAAGATGCTGGCAATTAAGGAGGCTGGAATATGGCTGACAAGCTAGGAGGCTATCAGCGAGGGCAGGCCTAGCAAGGCTACCATTGGTGCTCAAACTGATACTACCAGTGGTACCAGTTGGGGAAACAGGGTGTCCGAGGGCCGAGTAAAAAGTCGGAGATCCAGATGCAACTATCGGAGACGGAGTCAGTTGCTCTGGTAATTGATGGTGATGTTGCTGTGGAAGTTGGCTGTGGTGTACAGGATAATGAAATTGTGATGTGAATACCCCAGATATCAGGTCAGAGGAAGAAGCAGTGCCAGTGACTGTGGAAGGAATGGATGTCGCCATAAAATTGGCGTACTCAAGATGACCAAGACGGCCTATCAAAGAGCCTGGCGCTGTAGGAGCGTTTACCGGAGATCCAAGTTGCAAGTCCGTTTTTCCGTTAACCAAACGTTGTGAGGCACACAGCTTCGTTGTGGATTTAGTGCGAGCTCGGGTGCACTCTCGTCTCCGTTCCATACCAACTGGTTTCTGACTGGAGCCGCGCCTATGCCCCCCCAGGAACCAGCCGGCAGCAATGGCTGTCCGTGATTCACACTTGTCCCGTTCCAGTTTATCATCTCCCTCCCCTTCTTCTTCATCGTCTTCATCTTCTCTCTCTTTCCTTAACATGCATGCACGATTCAGCGTTCCAGATGCATTCTCATCATCGTCGTAATCACCTGCTGAAGCCTCACTGATGTCGTCGGCCGTGTCGTCGTAGGTGCGTGCCAGTCGTCTGCATGCCGATCCAGGAATTACTGTTATCTCTTCAGCCTGACTGATAGAATACCTATTAGTTTGATGCTTTCTTGATCGAAGAGAGTCAATCTCACGAGGTCGGCGAGTTTTTTTTGACCGTTCGTTTGATGCAGCAGCAACGGACAGGCGCCGAATACGGTTTCGCTGACAGGCCCAGAGTGCGATCAAGTTAATCAGAATTACCAAACCAAGACAGGCCAGACCAACCAGGATATAGGTAACGTGATCTTTCATAGGTGAATTAAGGCTGCTATCATCATTTCTCAGATTGCCAGTGTCGAAATATGTATTGGTCACCTATATTTTCCGATAAAAAGAAGCAAGAGAAGTGAATAAAGAGGCAATTAAAGAAGCTTAAGTACAAAAAGCCTGGATAGGCCAAAAAATAGAAATGAAGACAAGAAAGGTAAGAAGGAACGGGAAGTATTCATGA